ATATTAAGGCTTATTGAAACTATACTAAATGAGAACTACATTAAAAGCTAAAATCACATCCCCAACCATGATGAATGGATTTTTAATGAAACACATTTCATTATAGACGTCACACATGCTAGACAAAATTGTTCATATTTTCAGTACTGTGGTTTTGTTTTGCCTTTGCTTTTGTGTTGTGTTGCTTGCTTTTTATTTAAATAGCAATCTCTATCCAAGGCTACAGAGATCTCTGAGAAGTCATGTGGAAAGGACTCTCCATTCTCTAAACATCCAGGCATCGAGCAGTGCTGCACACTTCAGGGTCAAGAGAGGAAGCGTTGTCTGGCCTCACTACGGTACTCTGCAGATGAGCTGCCTTCTCTACTGGAGCCCATAAATGAAGAGATATGCACCGAGTTCACTAAAGTGAACTCAATATGCAATATGCTTGTTCTTATAAATCATATTAAATCTTATAAATTATAAATCTTATAAATGGTAGAAAAATATCTCTCACAACTTGGATCTGCAAACCTTTTTGAAAGATTTTTTTTTTTGTTAGTTTGTTTGTTTGTTTTGTAATTTTGAGGTGTTCAGTTTTATTTTGGTTTCAGAAAATAAACGTGATTGCTCTCCTCACAAATCAACTCTTTCTTGTTTTTATTTCATGCTCTCTGTGCCTTGCTCTGGACTTTTATGTCACATCCTGTTTCCCATGGTGTTTGTAGTCCGTTTGTTCATTGGTTCCCCTTGATTAGTCTCCCCAGGTGTGTTTTATCTTGTTAAGCTTGTTAGCCCCCTGTGTGTATATATAGCCCTAGTTTTTCTTTAGTTCCTTGTGAGTTGTTGAATGTAGTGTCATGTGGAAAGGACTCTCCATTCTCTAAACATCCAGGCATCGAGCAGTGCTGCACACTTCAGGGTCAAGAGAGGAAGCGTTGTCTGGCCTCACTACGGTACTCTGCAGATGAGCTGCCTTCTCTACTGGAGCCCATAAATGAAGAGATATGCACCGAGTTCACTAAAGTGAACTCAATATGCAATATGCTTGTTCTTATAAATCATATTAAATCTTATAAATTATAAATCTTATAAATGGTAGAAAAACATCTCTCACAACTTGGATCTGCAAATTCAGCATTTCCTTCTGAATGCATTCAATAGAATGATGTATCCCAATTACATTACCTCAGAAAAATCACTGGCCATTTAGTTTCTCTGAATAGCCATGAATTTTTTCAAAACTGTTCTCCCGTATAGCATATCTTCCATGTCAGTCTAATGAATTGTGATAGCATCCCTTTGTTAGTGTCGTACTGATAAAAAGACTCTAAAAAGACTGCTACTGGTTTTAAAGATTGGAGAGCATTGCATCAAGAAACCAAAGATTTCATATTATTAATCCACTGTTTCCTTTCAACAACACATCATTCATATACAATTCTGAGACCAGTTTTTCAGTTATTTAATCAAAGTGTAATATAATAAATATGTGTACAAATTGTTTATTTTGACAACTTTTTGTCTGCCAGTCATTTCTAATCAGTTATAATCTCCAGTCATGATCTCTTTCATAGATGATTTTATTCAGCATTTTACCATTGAGTGCCACATTTTGGATATTAAACACTTTTCAGAATCTATAGACTTGTATTAAGGCCAGTTCACACTGCACCAGCAATTGGCTTTTAGATAACTGAGAGCTATAAATTTACACAATTAAGTTTCCATACAGTAGTACCACCAAATGTCCTGCATGAATTCCCAATCCTGATTCCACAAGAGCAGTTCCTAAAGCTGCAAATTCTGTGGTGCTTTAGTTTCTTACACGTTTGTGAGTTGTAATAGCCTACTTTCAAATATTTTCGGGATGTCAAGTGTCTTTTTTCTCCACTGCTCTACTGGGAGTTCATTTTAAAATGAATACCATCATGTTTGATTGTGTGTAATTTAGCCACGGAGCTAGAGACAATATTACCTTATTTGTTGAGCATGCTTTGGTAAACACAGTGTGCATTAGCGACATCTGGTGGTCAGACTCGGTTTCTCCAGCCTATCTAACGAAACATTATGGAGCAGAGGATGGTTTGAAAAAGTTTTTAATCTGTGCCAACTCGTAGTCCGGTCAATGGATTCACATATTTATCAATAATATAAAATATACAAGTGTGTGTGATTATAATTAATAATTGATGTGAGTAATAGCAAAAATATTTTGGGTGAGCTGCTCGGGGTCTTTGAGACCCCAGCTAGAACATGATAAAATGCAATACGTGTGACGTGCATTCAGTTTCTGTCTGGTGTTGAGGTTATTCTAAACTATTCTACTGAATCCCAAATAAGTGTAAACACACACAACCAAGTCAATGTAAAGTCAAACACAAGAGTCATGCCTCTGTATCAATCGTCCCATCACTAGTTGAATGTAATAGTTGTCTGTTTGCCAGTCATTCTGTTCTTTGTTCCCTTTGGTTTTTGCTTTACTGTTTGTTCTAGTTTTTCCATTAAATAGATCCTTGCCTCTGCCTGTTTTCCGCAGCTTCTCCACAATGTTACAGTTTTTCACTGGCACGTCTCTTTGACTAGTGCGTCTTTGAGCTTATATTTAGTATAAGTAAAATACTTAAGTACTGTTAAAATCAGATACGCTAAGACTTTGTAACGTGTAGAGGAATAATTTTCACTGTAAGGTATCTGTACTTTTACTCAAGTATGGTTTTTAGGTACTCTTTACACCTCTGTTGCAGACCACATACACCCCTCCATGGCAATAGTGTTCCCTGATTGCAGTGGCCTCTTTCAGCAATGCACCCTGCCACACTGCAAAAATTGTTCAGGAATGGTTTGAGAAACATGACAAAGAGTTCAAGGTGTTCCCTTGGCCTCCAAATTCCCCATATTTATATCCAGTTGCGCTCCATGGGATGTGCTAGACCAACAAATCTGATCCATGGAGGCACCACTTCACAACTTGCAAGGATCCTGCTGCTAATGTCTTGGTGCCAGATACCTCAGGAAACGTTTTCATAAAAACAGTGATATGCTGGAATATTTGCTTACCCATGACCCTACAGAGGATAAGTGGTTTGGAGAATGCATTTATTATCTGTGGTATACTGTTGCTTAGATGCAGGCTTTGTTTTCAAAGAAAGCCTCTTACGTTAAAAATACAAATAAAACTCTCCTTTAATTTGTGCATGGAGATAATAACATGTATCCTGACTAGAGGCAACTCCAGCTCAACTATGGAAAGTTCCCGTTGTCAGTTCCAGGCCCAATCCTTGGCACACTTCAATGCAAATTAATTACAGTGCGTGTTAGTTGGTGTGGGCGCACAGCACACAGCACTCGCTGCTTCATTCATTGTATCATTGTCTTTCCCTGGGGACAACTTACATTAATTTCATAAAAAAATAATTACTTGAGCAGTATTTCCTCATCTACCTCGAATCTATAGACTTGTATTAAGGCCAGTTCACACTGCACCAGCAATTGGCTTTTAGATAACTGAGAGCTATAAATTTACACAATTAAGTTTCCATACAGTAGTACCACCAAATGTCCTGCATGAATTCCCAATCCTGATTCCACAAGAGCAGTTCCTAAAGCTGCAAATTCTGTGGTGCTTTAGTTTCTTACACGTTTGTGAGTTGTAATAGCCTACTTTCAAATATTTTCGGGATGTCAAGTGTCTTTTTTCTCCACTGCTCTACTGGGAGTTCATTTTAAAATGAATACCATCATGTTTGATTGTGTGTAATTTAGCCACGGAGCTAGAGACAATATTACCTTATTTGTTGAGCATGCTTTGGTAAATCGTATCCCCTTTTTGCCTAGAAAAGACATTTAGGCTTAATAGTGTCGTGGAAGTGATAATTGCTTTGGACTGGTTTGCCTCAGTGGAGGCCACTTGGTCAGAACTTCTATTTGAAGTCAATTTAAGTAATAATACAGTATTTTCTTTTGGACTTTAATGGCACTTAGAAGGACTTAGTCCTGAAATAAACTAAATAAATAAATAAGATATTGCCACCTCTATCAAAGTGCTAATTGCTTTTTTGGTCGTTATAGTCTCCTCTGATTGTGGTTGCATTAGTAGTAAGGGGAGATAAGTACCTTTTGTTCATGCACTAAAGCAGATTTCTGTATAGCAAATATTCTATACATCCAAAAAGTGCTTTAGTTGAATTGAACAAAATGAGCAAAACATGTACCCTCAAAGCCCCATTAGTCAGGTTCAAGTACCCCTTCAATGATACCAAACCGATATACTAGAGTTTAGCCCACGGAGGGCTCCTGTTCCCTAGTTCAGCCCAGAGAGGGCTCCAGATCCCGAATCCATCCCAGTGTGGGCTCCAGTCCCCGAATCCAGCCCAGTGTGGGCTCTAGTCCCCGAATCTAGCCCGGTGAGGGCTCCAGTCCCCGAGTTTAGCCTGGTGAGGGCTCCTGTCCCTGAGTTTAGCCCAGAGAGGGTTCCAGGCCCCGAGTTTAGCCCAGTGAGGGCTCCAGTCCCCGAGTTTAGCCCGGTGAGGGCTCCTGTCCCTGAGTTAAGCCCAGAGAGGGCTCCAGTCCCAGAGTTAAGCCCAGAGAAGGCTCCAGTCCCCGAGTTTCGCCCAGAGAGGGCTCCAGTCCCCGAGTTTAGCCCAGAGAGGGCTCCAGTCCCCATGTCCTGCCCAAGGGGGGCTCCAGTTCCCACGTCCAGCCCAAGGAGGGCTCCAGTCCCTAAGTCAAGCCCAGGGAGGGCCACAGTTCCCGAGTTAGGCCTATGGAGGGCCTCTAAAGAGGATATTCTCCCCAAGGATTATTTGGGGGGGTAGTAGGGGTACGTCCGTGGAGACCGGGCCGAGTGCCGAGGCCAGGCTCCCTGAGCTCCCTGCTTTGCCATGGCCTCATGAACTGTCCGCTCCGCCATGGCCTCCTGAACTGTCTGCTCCGCCATGGCCTCCTGAACTGCTTGCTCCGCCATGGCCTCCTGAACTGCCTGCTCCGCCATGGCTTCCTAGTCTGCCTGATCTGCCATGGCCCCCGAGCTGCCTGTTGCACTATGGCTTCCAGAGCTCCCTGCTCCAACATGGCACCTGAGCTCCCTGTGCCGCCATGGCACCCTGGACTGCCTGATCCGCCCTGGAGGTATTCCCCGTGTATACCTGTCCTACACCAGCCTCCAGTGGAATTGTTACGGCACGGGACACGCCTTACGGGAGGGGGGAGTAATGTCAGACTCTGTTCCATGTGTTGTGTCTTGTGTTTTGTTCCCCACGTGCTCCATGTCCTGGTTTTCACCCATGTTCCTCCTATGCCCTTATTTGGTGCTTCCCATTCCTGTCCTTATTATTGTTTCATTAGGTCAAGGTGTGTCTTGTCATCCCATCGTCTGGTCATGTGTATTTATAGTGTTTCCTGTTTTGAGTTTCCTGGTCCGGTATTATGTCAACCTCCACTGCTATGTGTGTTTTCCTGGTTCCCTTGATTTCATTAAAGTCTCCTTGTTGATGTACTCCACGTCTCCTCGTTCCGCGCTCCCTCACAGTAGCGATCGTGACATTCCTATCGGCATGTATAACCATTATTTTATATATTTCGTTTTCTGTTAGTTTGTTTGGCTGCATAAGATACAAATACAAATATAGAAATACATAAACACTGAAAAATCACAGAATTTTCAGACAGAAAGTACTAGTAAATTACAAAGGAATCGCCAGTAATACTTTTAATTAAAATTTTAATTAAAAACTGAAATAGTATTTTCTTGTAAAACATACTGTTTAAAGCAGTGTGGGCAGCATAAAGCTGATTTTAGCTTTATGAACAGCAGATGTGAGTTTGCAGGTTCACAGGTTTTGTTTTGACAAACATCCACACAAATTGACGAACCTGGTTCTTAGATAGTATTACTTTTTTCCCTTATAAATAGATACCGATTAAAGATTAATCAATTGCCATAATATATATTTAGGATATGTAAACAGTCATAATTTATGTTTTATAATTTTAACAAAGAAAAATCTAGATACTTTGAAGTTCAACTCCTTTGGTACATGGATGGTAATCACTTTTATATGACATGTCATGTAATTAATTATGTTTGTTTTGCTTACATAAAATAGACCTCGTGACTGAAACCCTTTTAGTTCATACATATCTCACTTCTTTTATACCTCTTCTCAACACAGATCTGCATAATGAAGCTAAATTTGGTGCAGTCATATGAATCATTCTGTTCTAAAATAACCCTTGCGAGCATTATGACAACAGTTTTTCATAATAAAATCTTTTGATGACAACACACCCCCATCCATGCCTAAACATGATGATTATGTGCTGTTTTCATAGGAATAAAACAAAGAAACACTTTGGTGGCTTTGATTTCTGATTAGAAGTTACTAATAGGGTAACAGAATATGCTGTTCCCCTTTATGAATCATGTCTTGGAGGGCTTTGATTTACCGCATTGACGTCATATGTTATTTTCTTTCCCCTTAGGTATGTGTACGAGTTTGCACGAAGACACAGAAACATCCCAGCAAGCTTTGTTCTTAATGCTACTCAGAACCATGTGAGAATGGCAGAGAGATGTTGCCGCCCTGCTGTCAAAAACTCTTGTTTCCTCCAAGAGGTAGTGTGAACCATACATCTCTAACTACACTCTTTGGAAATCCTGGGGTGGCACGACCCCAGTGAGAGGGGTGATGTTGGGTGAATGTATTTAATGCTGATTATATTTGATCACTTTGTCATTTGCAATCACATGCGCACACAGTAAGACGCTGCACATCATTCATCCCATAATAGTTCATTATCATCTTACAGGACTATGTTATTATTAGACGTCAAGTAACTGGCACTGAAATAACAAGGAATGGTGGTCAAAGGGTAACGCAAAGAGCAAATTGGGTGAACGAACCCTTTAAGATCCTGGTGAATGTAATTGGATAGAGGTACAACTAATTGTTTTATTTGTTCATTTAAATGTTTTTAAAAGTTACCTTGTTACCATAGAAGATGCACAGCAGACATACTGTTCTGAAATGAGAGAAAATAGATCATTTGTGTTCCAATGCTACATCAAAATACTTAAATGTGAATCTTGAAAAAAAGCTTTATAAACAATAACATGCTCACTGTTTGTTGTGTTTGTTTTAATACAGTAATTGATTGATTCAATGAATTTGATAGTTAAAATGACTACAAATTCAGGTTTTCGTCACCGCCGTCAGATGAATATTTTGATGATATTTGATTATGATATTTTATATTTGTTGAGGAATTGTTGGTCACATGTGAAAATATGATCTGTCTGCTAACCTGAGAATGTGTTTTGTGCAAAATAAGTGATGGCAAGGTAAAAAGCACATTTTGATAAAAAAGTGAAAAGTTGGACTTCCGGTGGCTGGGCACGAGTGATGCACGCCTAGAACTGAGCTCCGTCTCAAAAGTCTTTTACATTCATAATTTATCTTTACATTCAGAAATTAATTCAGAATAGTTTACTCCGAAGTATCCCTGGAAATGTCTGGACCAAAATCCACTAAGAATAAGCCGTCTCAAGATGAGACGACGACGAAAAAGAAAAGGCAAAGACGGGCCGATTGAAGATTCACCGAACTCAGCCATTTTGATGGCTTTGCAAGATCAAGAGGAAAGGTTTGCCAAAAAGGTGAAATTGGCAGTAAGAAAGGTAATGGAGGAGGTACTCTCTGGAGAAATCCAAACTTTAAAGAACATGATTGAATCCTCGAACTCAGCAGTAAACGAATTGCGACACGATATCACCCGCCAAGCTGAATTCGGTAAATCATTACAAGGGCGGCTGGACTCTATGAATGCAAACATGTGTGCGGTTAAACAGGAGGTTAATACGCATCAGCAAGAGATAATGAATCTCCGTGACAAAATGGTTGAAATGGAGGATCGATCGTGAAGATGTAACGTTCGACTCATGGGCCTACCTGAGGCAGCGGAGGGTGAAAACGCCGTTCAGTTTCTTCAGGAATATCTACCAAAGTGGATCCCTTCCCTCCAGGGAGGTGGCAAGATAGAAATCCAGCGGGCTCACCGTATCTACGGCAGCCGAGACAAGACAAATCGCCCTCGAATGCTTATCTTCCGGCTTCTCAGATACCAGGATAGGGAGAGAATTCTTAACGGAGTCAGAGCACCCCAGTCCGAAATAATACATGGCTCATCCAAGCTGATATTTTTCCCCGATTTTAGCAACGAAACGGCTCTGAAGAGAAGATCGTTTGACAGTGTGAGAAGGCAGTTTGCAGACGAGGGTTTGTGTCCATTCCTGATATATCCAGCAACTCTGAAAGTGAAGTTCAACGGAATGCTACATCACTTCAAGAACGCCGATGATGCAGGGAAGTTTCAGCTGGAATTGGATAATTCCTCACTCTCAACTATTGATGCGCCGAGTACTTCTGCGTCTTCATTTTCAATCGCATTTGATGACCAGGAAAACCCTTCCAACGTCACTTCACAATTTAGTTAATCGATAAAAATGAATTTGGTAAGCAAAATGGCCTTTGTCTTAATAGGTTTGATGGGTTATATTAATATTTCTGATGTTCGTTTGGACTTGGACTTGAGACGTGTTGCTTTCGACAGCCACAGGCAGTAGAACTTTGAGTTTTGTTAAATTTTTTCCACCCAAAGAGAGAGAATTCTAAGTCTTGTCTCTTGCGGATGGATAGTAACGTTCTATTTTCTTTTGTTAAGTGTTCTATCGCCAAAGCCTTGCAGTTTTTATGTAAGTTATGTCCACTGTACATAATTTTACTGTTTTTGTGTTCATGTTTTAATTCTGTGGAGGCCCATCTATACTTTAAAAGTTTGATCTTTAAACCCCATATATGAATATACCTCTTAATGTAATGTCGTGGAATGTCCACGGCCTAAACTCGCCGAACGAACAAAGTGCTTAGAATTTCTTAAACGTAAAAATATCTCTATCGCTCTGATCCAAGAAACACATTTAAAAACAAGTGATATCCATAGATTTCAGAGTAGATCCTACAAATGTGTAGTTCATTCTTCTGCATCAAACAAATCTAAAGGTGTTGCTATTCTGGTTGATAGGAAATTAGGAGTAACTATTGATAAATGTGGAAAAGATAGTGAAGGTTACGCTTTTCGTATGTGGCTGTAACAGTTCATAATGTGAAAATTAGTTTTGCATCAATATATTGTCCAAAAATACCTGATCCCAATTTTTTCAATGCAACCTCTGCCACTCTCTTAGACATGCCAGAATACTTAATGGTAGTTGGTGGTGACTTCAATCAAGTCTGTAATATAACTTTGGACAGATCAGCAAATGCATGCACACTGGTTTGGATGCACCTTCCGGGATTAACACATTTATTACTGAACTGAATATTATTGATACCTGGCGTCTACGATATCCCCTAGTGAAAAATTATACCTTCTTCTCTTGTAGGCATAAGACATTTTCCAGAATCAACTACATTTTTGTTTCGCCGCAATTAAATCAATTAATCACATCTGTAGACATTCTTCCTATCATTATTTCAGATCATGCGCTTGTGCTATATACTTTTGAGCTTACACGGAATCCTGCTAAACGTGCACACAGGTGGCGCTTTAATACAACGTTACTTCACAACTCAGAGTTTCTGAAGCAATTGAAAGTCAATCTCAGAAAGTTTTTAGAAATTAATCGGGAATTAGTATCTTCACCCCAAATACTCTGGGAAACAACCAAATGCTTTATTAGGGGTGAAGCTATCGCATTTGCTTCTTATATGAAGGCGGCCAGAAACTACAGAATTTCACAACTAGAAAAGGAAATTCAAGTATTGGAATCAGATCAAAAGCATCAGTTTTCTGAGCAAAAACAGGAATCCCATCTAGCTTTGAAATTTGAGTTAAATAACTTACTGAAATCTAAAGCAGAATTCTCAATACACCGTACAAGAGTGACCAATTATAGTCAAAGCGAAAGCTCAAGTAGACTTTTAGCTGCGAAAATAAAGCAGAAGGAGTCATTTTCTATTATTAATGCAATCGAAATCCTATCAGGACTTGTTACCTACGATGCAGAGGAAATGAATGATACTTTTAGACTTTTTTATTCCAATCTGTATGAAGCCGAATCGTTTTTTGACCCAACTGTTCTTAAATCGTATCTTTCGAAGCTTAATTTACCCTCTTCGTCCAATGAAGAAACAGAGTTTCTTGATACACCTCCCACTATTATCGAATTAAAAGATGCATTGTCTTCAATGAAAAGAGGTAAATCTCCAGGATTGGATGGTTTTCCTCCAGAGCTATTCCTGGAACTTTGGGACAGTATTGGACCACTTCTCCTAAATTCTATCAATCGTGCTCTTAGCATTGGTTCATTTCATCGTGATCAAAACACATCACTTATTTCGGTGTTGCTTAACAAAGGCAAGTCTCCTCTGAATTGTGGTAGTTATAGGTCGATATCTTTAATTACAACAGAGTTAAAGCTTTTTGCTAAGCTTTTAGTCAAGAGGCTTGAATTATCCGTAAGTAAACTAATTCATTTCGATCAATCTGGATTTTTAAAAGGGAGACTTGCATCCGATAATGTCAGATGTTTTTTACATATTATTCATGCATCTGAAAGGGATGCGTTACCTGCAGCTGTCTTTACTTTAGATGTGCAAAAGGCCTTTAATAGGGTAAGTTGGGAGTATCTTTGGATAGTTTTGGAGAATTTTGGCTTCGGTAAAATTTTCATATCTATGGTCAAAACACTTTATACTAATCCTCTTGCAGTTGTATTAACATATAATATCTTGACAAAGCCATTTCCTCTGCATCGTGGTACCCATCAGGGCTGCCCACTTTCCCCCTTACTTTTTGCTCTATCAGTAGAACTGTTAGCACAGTCGATTAGACTAGATTCTCTTATATCACCCATAGTTATACAAGGAACACAGCATAACATTTCTCTTTACGCAGACGACATACTATTATATTTCACTAATATACATGTTTCCTTACCCCAAATAATAAAAGTATTCACCCAGTTTAATCACTTCTCTGGCTATAAAATAAACTGGGACAAATCCCTTCTAGTTTATATATATATATATATATATATATATATTATACACACACACACACACACACACACACACACACAAAGGAAAACAAGTAGATAGAATAGAAAAAATAGAATAGCTAGTGTTTGTTTTTGTTTTTTTTTATAAAAAAAGAAGATAAATATAAAGTAGAATTAAAATAGAATAGAAAGTGCTAGAGTTAGAGGGTCAAATAAAGGTGGAACAGATGTGTTTTTACAGTATTTGGGTCTAAAAATAACTTTTGTTTATATATCACGGACAAACTATGACAAGCTTAAACTTTTTTTTTTTTTTTTTGCTGATATGCAGAGGTGGTCTAACTAATTTTCATATCTATGGTCAAAACACTTTATACTAATCCTCTTGCAGTTGTATTAACATATAATATCTTGACAAAGCCATTTCCTCTGCATCGTGGTACCCATCAACCCCCACCTGTAAATTATTTTGAGGAGTTGCAATCTCGGATAACTAATTTTATTTGGGATGGTAAAAAAACACGTATTCCTCTGAATACTCTTCAGCGGATTAAATT